TATTGTATTATATTATATTATATTATATTATACTATATTATATTACATTAAATTATATATATATATTATATTATATCTCATATATGCTATATATATATACAATCACTCTTCATCTACAGGGTTTTGACACCATAGACCATAGATTTTGCTCTTAAATCCCCTTTCTTTCACCAACATCCCCATCTCCCCTGGCTATTTTTTCCCCAAGTCCCTCCGTGAAATCCCCCAAAAACAGACGACAAAGGCCCTTACCGGAGTGGTGTTGAGCAGCTCCAAGGTCTGCGGCACACGCTTGCCAGGGGAGACGGCTCCAAACCTCAGCCGGAGAGCAAGAAAATGTCTAAAACTCATTCATGGATCAAGAATGGATCAAGAATGGATGAAAAATGCAGATCTGGGTCAAATTCCAATGTTTATCCAAGAATATCCAAGATCTTTAAAATGACGATCCAGAAAAAGTGTTACTGCCTTCCCTTGACGCGCACACTGCTGTCAGGTCTTCAAGGCTGGGGCTCTACAAGTGGCATTTGACCACCAGGGACGCATAAATGAGGCCTCAGCAAAACTGTGGCACTGGCTTTCCAAGTCATCAGAAATAAGTTGCGCAGCAGAAACTCATCATCAACCATCAAGAAATCATGGTTTTTGCATGCTTTTCCAATCAAAAATATGGCTTTCCTGCAACTGTAATGTTTAAAATTCCACCATGATTCCTTAATTTGAGCCTCATCATATGGTTTAGCACCAGCTTGTTGGAGCTGAAACCCGAAAATGCACTGAGAGTGCGACAGCTTGCCAACACCAGTGCACTGCAATGCATATGGCTTCACCTACAACAATGCAACTGAGATTCACAACAACAGAAATCAAGTTGATGCGGAACTGATCGAAGAAATATTGTTGTTTGAAGCCGCCTCCGGAGCCCTTGCACTGCTGTCGTCGCCATCGTCATCAACAATGGCGTTTGCAGCTGCACTGGCTACCTGATAGGCAACAGTATGATACATGGAATTTATATATCTTGTATGTTGCTGACAGCATAGTTTTCATTCCCCCTGGAAGGTAAGCTCTCAGGATGTGCCCACACTCTGCTACAAATGATGTGATGATGTGCAATGTAAAGTCAAACAAGCCCTTCAGGACTGCCCCGAGCCTCGCATGCAATGAGGCCATCAAAAACGGAAGCAGTCTTTGGCTCGAATTCGACAACACATCGCACCTTGGTGAGACGCTTCAACATGACAAGACCGCAACCAAGGCGTCTTCATCGTTTTCGAAGTCCTTTCATATCAGTTTGCACTGGCCCAAGCTCACAGTAGGTCACTCGGTGGAAAACAGCAGGTATGAACTGAGATCGGGTCTGATTGGCCCACTTCAACTGTTTGGGCCGGACATCGAACTGTAAATGGAGGCCTTGTTTTCGGCGAACAAAGAAGACAACATCAAGCAGCATCTGGCAGGCAGCATCTGGCAGCCCACCTGGCATGCCACTTCATGGATGCCTTCAATGTGCCAGTGTTGTAGACATCGATCTGCTGCTGTGAACCTCAATGGATAAAACCAAATAGAACCAGCCGCCGCGACATCTTTGGCACTTTCGTGACACGAAAAGGGGCCCTTGGGATCCGTTGGATCTAACTGGGTCAACTGGGCACCTGACGCTCCATGGTGGGACAAAGTCCAAAATCCAAAAAATGTGGGAGGGACAGAGCCACGTCCTTCACCACTGCCTGGGTCCCCATGGAGGATGGGCCTATGATATGGCCATGCCATAGAATTTCCGGGCTCCCGCTGCACCTTGACGATAACAAAGAAGCTGCCTCCCTTGGTGACTATCTGCACTCTATCCACGTGCCTGGCAACCGGAACAGTCGCAGCGATTTGGTCCTCGCTGACGAAATCAGACAGGAGCACGGAACGTACTTGGAAGGCCGAAAGCTGATTGGAATGACCTTTTTCATTCCAGGCCTCAGAACATGGAACCAGATGGAATGGAATGAACCAAACGATGAAGGAGATCTTCGCCAGCCAAACCAGCTATGCTTTCTTGGAGAAGGCATGATTCCCAAGATATCGCAAGATCAGAAATATGATCTTGCATCATCTTCAAGTCCAGCTGGAAAGCCCTTCACAATTTGGACATCCTAACAGATCCTTCGCTATCCTGGGGTCCTTGCGCAAGCTTGAAGGGCTCTGGGTAGGGCATATCAAACTCTTTGGTCGGCGGCAGCTTGAACTTCACCTGCGGAGTCAACTTTGACGATCTTTGACGACCGAACCTCTCCGATCCGAAAAAATCATCCCAAGCTTCCTGTCGAATCCACCCATTGATCATTTAATTCAAGGTAATCCTTCAAGGTTTCCAGACCAGAACTGCAACCTTTTTTAGATCCAAAGATAGATCCTATCAGATCCTACAACTGATGGGCCCCCAACCCACCTTCTGCGTCACCAGAGCCACATTCTGCAGAACGAGGTCCTGGACACTTTCCACGCCAGGTGTCCATTCATGCCACATCACCTGGCGATGTAAGCGATGCAGCTGATCCCCTGCTACAACTCGAACATTTGGTGGAATAAATGTATTTATTTGCATTTTGGTAAACTCCACCTAACACAACAAAATACCAAATTTTGACTCAATCTGAGTCTACGGCCGGCTATAATCCATCAAGTCATCCGTTTTGGTGGTGTTTCCCTGCTGAATCAGCCAGGAATTGTGAATCCAGAACTTGGATGTGCATCCTCACCCCCCAAATGAATGTGGTGGTTGATCACCCCATTCGGCCCCATTCGTGATTTGTTTATGACACGACTGTAGCTGGATCCAGGTTCGGTCGTGGAGTGTCACCATTGATCTGGGATTGGCATCACCCGAATTTTCATAACTGGATTATGGCCATGAGTATGCCCGTTATTCCTTTCTATATTGATAACATCAAATAGTTTGTGTATAGCAACCCCCAAAATATATATATATAATATAGAACATTTATTTACCAGTATCTTAAGATTCAAATTTCACTTTTCTGCATCTTTTTGGATTTCAAAGGAAAAAAATGTCTACCCTCTCGTAATTCAACACAGCTATGGACAATCAGCATTTTTTCATAGGCAAATCATGGAGCTGAATGGACCGAATCTATACCATAGCCATAGCTTTGGTCATTGGCAATATGGTGAGTTGAAAAAAACATGAACAATCATGATTGGTTGGTCATTAGATCTCTACAAATGGACCATGTACACCATAGTATATACCTTGTTTGTTCATAGGTAAAAATCATCTATATATACATCTGTTAGTTGTTTACTTCTACACATGGTTTCCCTGTGAAAATCATCTACAAATAATGGATTTTCATGGATTTTCCACATGTTTTCTATGTTTACTGGAGGGTATATCCATGTATATCCAATCACCATCAACTCCCCATCAAAACCCACCTGATCATCGCAATCGATGCCATAGAGCTGCACCCGCTCGTCGCGCGACAACTGTCCGTTGTTGCCTAAATGAGGTGCCTCAAATGGCGTAGCGTAGCGTAGCGTTGAGACCCATGTTTTTCATGGGAATTCTTGGGGAGATCGGAGAACCACGAAAAACATGGTTTTTTTTTATACCAATAATCCAATATAAGAAAGGGGGTGGCTTTGTTAGGGAACATTGGTCTGAAACTGTAGGTTTTTTTACCTTGAAAAAGGTTTTTCTTGCAAATGTTACCATTCATCCCATTCTGGGACATAGATTTCTCTCCTGGCATGGATCCCGGGTTTTCAAACATCCGTTTTTTGTGGGCACGCGATTTTTTGACAAAGAGACATCACCACAAGGTTTGGCAGATTCTGGACCGCAAACATCAAAACATCACCGATATCAACATGAAAAAATCGGTAGACAAAGGCTGTCAAATGGTAATTTTGATAGCCCTACATAAACAGGGAACACCTGAGGGTCGGGTTCTTTTCAAATTATGTGATCATATGTAGTCATTTTTGCTGAACCATCAAATTTACATGAAATTTAAGCAACACATTGAGGAACACGCCATCGATCCTGCACAATTCAGCCAATCACCTCGGAATCGGTGGAACGGTCACAAGCTCGGATGACCACCTGTGGCACATTCCTGCACCGCATGCCTTGGTCAAGCTGAAAATAACTGAGAAACCGGACCCTTTGGTGTGTTGGCGTTGCACTCGACATTGGTTCAAATCACAACAAGTCAAAAAATGTGGTTAAGATCTATGGTTCTTGGTGAGTTTGTACGAAAACATGTACAAAAAAAAATGAGTGTCTGCGACAGGCATGAAACTGATACATTTTGCACAAAAATGTTTAGCTGCAAGGACACTTCACCAAAATGGTGCCTCGTGTCCCCGACTGGAACGAGCAGCGGCGACGGGTATGAAGTTTAACGCACTGGTCCAATGATTTTTTGTGGCATAAAAAGTTCTTTCTGACACCCATGACTCGACCAATATGATTATTTCTATCAAAATCTGTCAGCAATGTCAAATGTCCTTTTGATGGTTTGAACAGAAACCTCTTACATATCATTCCATAAATAAGATTCCATCAACACGTTGAGTTACGTTTGAAATTTTGTCCGCCCTTGAGGCCTACGGGTGGACGAAAGAAATCGGCAAGGTTCACGCAATGGTTTCCGTTGCTTCAGTTTCCCAAAAGCTCTTATTTACAGTAGATGTTCAACACAGGAATCAAGGCTGCCGCAAAGGTGCACGTTTCTTTTTAGGCGTGGTGCATCGTTTGGGTCAGGTCTGTACACAACAAATAGAACCAGCGGGTCCTAAGTACAGCTAGACCTACAAACACAAACCCCCCAAAAAGACTCCAATCAACTGGCGTCTACAAAAAGAGGTGGGGAGTTCAAACAGCACCAAACCTATCGACAATCGACCAGCCGGAGTGAGAACTCCCCAAAAACTAATCGATGGCGGCACCCAGTCAGTGGACTGCAGCAACCCTTTTTCTCGCAGATGAACATCGAAATGTGACGGCCATTTTCGACCAGTCTGAGTGATTTCAATGCCGGATGATCTCAGAAGGCCCGTCCAAGGGACTGTCATCTGTGCAGCCGAATCCAGTGGTGTGGATAGAGGTTCCTTAAACCGACTCAGTTCGTCAGCCAAAATGTTCAAACGACCAGGGATGTGGGTAATGCATGGAAATACCTGATATCGCCGCATGAACTTGAAATATGGTGTCAACATTGCTGCAAGGACAGGGGTCATAGTGAGACCTTTCGCAGAGGCAGCGTCTGCTGCACTATTGTCCGTAGCCTGTTGGCACGCGATTGGCCCACGAGTTCGGGGAAGATGGGCTTCAATGCAGAATGATAATGCGAACTGGGCAAGAAGTTCCCATGCTGCTATATGCTTCTGCATGTCATCACCCAGTCCTGGCCAAAGTGTCTGCGCTTCGTCTAATGAGATACGGAATTGGAACCAGACTGATGAACCATCTGGGAAGATGGCTGCACCACCCAAACCTGCCATAGAAGTCGAGGCCATTGCGTCCGCCGTCGCTTGGACTTGAATCCATGTTGGGGCACACATCGACAAAGAAAATGGCGTAGAAACCAAGAGTTGCAGCCAATCTTGAAGTGTCTCCGATGCTTCATCATCCACTTTTCGTTGTGGTGATGTGGGATCAAAGATCCCCAACCAAACACGACGGGACTTGATGTGCAAAGATTTGACATCTGCCAGAGTTTTCACGTGAGAGTTGGCCACCCGACACGGTGTAACTCCTGGGCGAAGCGACTGATGTTTATGGGTGAGTGACGAGCGCAGCTGCAAGTGTTCATCCAGTTGTGTGATCATGGCCTGGAAAGTGGTATGGTCCATGCCTACCATTGTGGTGGGGATGCGATGCAATGCCTTATACAGCGGTATAAGCAGTGGTCGCAGGTAATGCCAGGCGGATGTTAGCCACAAAAAGTCGACCAACCAGAGATTGCAAATCCCGCAGTGTTAGGCGAGAGGAGCCCTGAATCGTCCGGATCTGGTCAATGATCTTAGTCAGCTTCTGAGGTGGCACGGCCACTGTCAGACTGATATTCTCCATCCAATCCAATCGATGGTGTCTGCAAGGGCTGCTTTGTGCCATGACATAGGTACACCCAGGATGAGCAGAAGGATAACCATCAACGATGCCCAAAGTGGCGATGATGTCTTGTCCAACCGAGCAAGGAGATCATCCACATACTGCCAAAGCGCATGGCCATGTGCCAGGAGGGAGTGACAAGAGCGCACCATGATGCGCGCCAGGCGCCCCCAATACCAGCCGCTTGCACGGGCTCCAAGATTCAATGTGACGCATCTGTAGAGCTCCCCATTGGCGTGGAAACACAAGAGGCCACCATCAGCAAAAGCAACCAGGATCCTGCGATGGGCTTTCGACACGTCCAAAGTGAGCTGGGTCATCTGTTGTTCTGACATCCCCATGGGAGCACATTGCATCACATCGGAAATCCTGGGCAAGAGCATGTGATTGGGAAGGACTGTATTCGCTGTCACCATACTGACGGAGCTGTCAACGACCAGTCGTGGTGCGCGACCTGGTGCAAGAACCACACCGCATCTGTTTGAGCTGTGTCACGCCACCTGGAACATGAGCAATGAAACCAGCATCCAATTCCTCCTGGATTAATGACTGTACAATTTCAGGATGATCCTGGGCGCTCTTCCATGAGTCCAGACAGTCTTGAAGTGGTACCTCTTCGGGCAAAGTGCCCGTGTATGCTGGCCAAGCAGGGGATGGCTTCAAAGGTTCATTGACCCCCAACGGAACGCCATGAGGCAATTGCAGCAGGAAGTCTGCATCTGGATCTCCCAAAAAAGTAGCCAAGCGGTGCCACAACTGCAATCTGAATGGATGGCCAGGATTCAATATACAAAAGAAAGTCACCAGGTGGGCAATCAAGGATCTCCAACATGTCCTCAAGGTAAGGGACCAGGTCTTGCTGGGACATTGTTGGTTCTTTGCAGCCAGACAGTAGAGCGGCAGTGATTTGAAGGCAATGCTGGGTATCACTGAGCCTTTTGAACCATCGCGATCGAAGTGCGGCAAGGCGATCACGTTTTTGAAGACTCATATGTGGGGCTGTACTAGGCAGCCCGCCCCCCAATCCTCCACGCGGCCAGGTGGAGTGGGCCACGATGGCTTCTTGCGCAAGATTGAACACCAGTCCTCCACTCGCAGAACAGGTGCACCGCTTGTCAGAAAAGGCCGGATGACTGTAGCCAACGCTATTTCCAGTTGCTCCGGATACTCTGCAGTGAGTCTGCTCTTGAAGAAGCCATCGTGCAGACGTATCCCCACCACGGATTCATGTGTGCCGGGTGGGTGGAAGCAAGATCTGGCCAAGTGGCTGATAGAAGGCCGGTTGGCTACAAACATCCAGGATTTGGCCCAGTCTTTGCCGAACTGGCATGCACATGCCTGCGCTGCAAAAGGTGCAACAACATGCACCCATTCATACATCATGGAATCGTCCCACGTCATGGATGTTGAAGGGTTTTCCAAGATCACCAGGCCTGCCTGTTGATCGACAGCAGTGAGAAGAATTCTGGAACGATCATGAATGGCAGAACTTTCTTGCACTGCAAGCTGCTGTTGGACTGTGTTGGTCGGCAGGCCATCCAAAAATTCTAGGGTGCGGACAGGAGCCGGACCGTTGGGACGTAAGGTAGCCCGACTGTGCTTGCAACAGTACGGAGCAGCCAAGGCCGCCCCAATCCGACCCGATGACACCAGTCGAAGCAAACTCTCAAACAACTCATCATCCAGGAGGTCAAGTCCGTGGATCAAGTCAATGGGCTCAACACGATCCCCTGAGAATTTCTGCACTGCTGTGCTCACTGGCATTGATGCACCCGAAAAAATGTCGAGGAAAAATCGCGCTGTACTCTATGAAAAAGACTGCACCTTAGGGCATGTAACTTGCATCGAAGAGGAGACTCACACAACTGGCGGTGGCAAAGATTCTGTAGGCTGCTCCTCTGAATTGTGTGCATATCCAACAGGTAAATCCTGTCGGTCTGTCACCCGAGCTGGTGACCAAGGTCAATGTGGGGAATCTTTATGCCTTGAGGCAGGATGGAACCTCCCGCAGGCTTCACCGTTCGCCTTCCCCACCGAACATTGATGTGCACAGCGGCATTGCTGCCCGGATTTGCACTTACCGAGGTGAAATCGCATGCATATGCCCTTGCCGTCGCTGAGTTTCTTCAACCAAGCGTCATTCCATTTTGGATTCTTCCCAGCCGGAGTCGCCTGCTTGCCCACACCGGTCTGCGCGAGGGCTCTGCAATGGTTCTGGCCTTGGGGCCAAGGAGGTGTGAAACACCTGGCGGCAAAATGCCACTTCATTCAACACGTCGTTGAGAGACCATTTTGAATCTGCAAGAAGTTCCACCACTGAAGTCCAAGCCACACGATCAGCGTCCAGAATCTCAGTCAAGGAAGGTGACCGGAGATGTTGGTCCCTGGGTTTCAAGAGGGCAATTTCCAAGAACTTCGCATGAAATCGCTTGAGGACAAGAAGATGTGCTTGTCCCAACATGGCCAACGCTGTGGAGAGCAAGCCTTGAAAGCGAGTCACCACTTCAGGAGACAGCTGATGGTTGATAACTGCCTCAGGCTGATCATGCAATGCTGACTTTCCCTCTGAGAGCAATGATCGGAGGAGTTGCCGTTCATTGCGAGGACGAATGAATTCCAAAAATGCTTGTTCATCGGCCTCTGACGTGCGGCTCTTCCAAGGGACCCAAGCCAGACAGTTGCCATCAATGGCCTCCTTCAGGATGCTCAGGAATGATAATGATGGCATGGACTGTGATGTCAGCAGCTCCCCTGGGTAATTTTGGCAAAAGTCAGCACGAAGGGCCTTGACGTCCACCATGGAGAGCTTGGACTTGACCAGCGGGGTGATGGAGGACTCAGTGCTTGACTCCCGTCCTGACTGGACACAACGCGAAATGCATTCCTTGAGGACTCGCCTGATAGAGGCAGATTGAGGGGAGAATGTCTCAAAGCGTTCTCCCGCTGGGATCAAGCTGAGGTAGTCCACGACCTCTTCCATCGTGGACTCGTCATGAACACCGTGTGCGAGTAATGCAATGGTGGTGTACCCGGACGTGACAATATGCTCTATCTGTATGGACGGCAAATGGCATTCG